AAAATAAATTATCTTTTAGCCTATGCCTGTCTGATAAGCCGCTCTATAATGTCAAAATATGGATAGAAGAATTAATGACGTTAAACCCAGAATCACCCTATCATTACTGAATACACAAATTGATGCAAAGTTGCGAAAAAAAGTAAAGGAATTCGATAACTTATGAATGTTGTTATATATATATATATAATTCCAGGTCTTCAGGATATGGGGGGGGACCATCGCTATCCATTGATTCCTTCTCTTTGTTACGTGTGATTTATCAGATTTTTGGAAATATAGTAGCATGTTTTGATGTTTGTATCTCCACGATGTTGAAATTAGCAATGCCATTCTTATATGTTAGCTGCCAGTCATGGCAAGATATCTTAGTATCTACTGCCATTTAATACATTTCTGGAGAGAAAGAAGTGATAAATTCGCCCAACTCTTATAACTATTATGCAATGAATTCATATATATATATATATATATATATATATATATATATATATATATATATTATGAAATCGACAATTATTTTAAGACATTTTTATGTTTATACATTCTTTTTTTACCGATACAAATATTTAAGTAAATGCTCTGTTTTATAATAAACAGTATTAAACAACATTTACCGGCCTGAATGTCCGAGAAATTTTCATACAAAATATTCGTCCTCCGACAGGAATCGAACCTGTATCCTATACGGAACCGTCATATAGCCTGACGTGCTTTTACCGATTTTGCCACATTTGTCCATTTCATAATGTGTGACGTCATTTGTTTACATTTGGATACGCATCGAGCAGATATGAATGTACGTGAGGAAATCATGGAAAATTGTAGTTTTAAAACAGTAAAATCGATCTTGCTAACCGAAATGCTCCTCTGTTTAATTTCAGTAGTTACCATTGTTGCTTTTGTAGAAACTAGAGCATCAAATATATATTTGTATAAAACATCAAAAAATAAAACTGATTAGAAATAATAAAAAAATAGTTTTCAAAATAGTCATTATTTTTCTACTCGCGAAATGTAAAATTACGACAGAAAGTGTCTTCTTACGGCTAATAATAAAAACTTTAAAGGCTAAGTGTTGTAAAATGTACCTCAGCAAATGCAATGTATGTAAGCAATTCAATGTAAATACAACATGTAGTGAGTTTAAGTTTAAGAGATCCCCAAATGGGGCTCATGGTAGTACATTTTACGATCTTTCAGGGTCAGAAAACGAGTTACTTAAAGCAGTGTATCTACACGCAACCATCTAGGTCTAGGGAAATGGGTATAATCTGGAAATCTGATCTACCAGACAACCACAAACGGAGCTTGCTTCCTCTTCGGAACGACCACTACATCATAGCTCTATGGATACATGCCTGATATTTCTTAAAAAAAGAACGCATGACACTGCTGGAGATCCAACAAGAATTTGCGAGTGGTCTACTGCTTCGGACACCTAGCTATGGCGCAGGACGGGTTGGTCGGCCAACAACCTACTACATTGACCAGTTACTTTATGGTACAGGATGCCACCCTAATGACATTCCGACTTTGATGCAGGACCGTGAGGGCTGACGTGATAGACTCATGAATATCCGAGCTAGCTTCACCGAATAAAAAAGAAATACATTTGCATTTAATATTTCTGTAATGTGGAGTTGAAATATATAGGATTTGGGTAAAAGTTAGTCTAAAAGATATCTCGAATATAAAACCAGCGGGAATATATTAGAGACATTTTAAAGGGAAAATATTGAAGTTGTATATGCCATCAAATGCGATTTAGTTTTATTATTTCCCATTGATTCATTTTATTATTTGAGATACTGAGAAGAAATCGTTCGCAAGTCAATGTCGCAATTTTAATTCTCCTCCTCTTCCTCATCAACATCATCATCATTATCAGTCACTTGTCAGCTTCAATCGTCGGTGAGACCTAAGGGCAAAAAACAAAAATTAAAAAAATAAATAAATAAACAAACACCTTCTTCCAGGATGACCTGTTGGCAAAGTCTTTCAGGACTTCCAGCATTTCTATATCCATCCACTTTTTGATGCTGTTTGAACCAGCTTTTGCTTTGGGGACCCCGCTGGCGTCTGTCTCTAAAGTACTACTACTACTGATGCGGCATTCACCCTGGGCGGATTGAGCCGGCTTCTTCCTGTGATGAGAAGAAGATTCTTGGGATAAATTACAGAAGTAGGGTACCCAGGCCTACTCGGATAACGTTCTTGCTTGCCGCGGGGTTCCCACAGACGCAGAGACAGGAACGACCAGAAGCCGCCGGTTACCGATACAGACGCTCCTTGGATTTTCACCAGAGCCCTTGTTAGCCAGCGTGTGTGTCAGACCTGTCCGCCTTGGGAGGCCCTACCAGGAACGAAGTTCCAGACGGCATAGCTCTGACACTACCGTTTACACGCCCCCACCGACTGTGAGGTAAGGGTTGGACTTTGGGGGCTTTGTAGCGATTTTCCAAGCGTAGCTTAGATGTGGCACAAGGCCGAAAGTATGGGGAACCCAGTGAGGATCAAGCTCACTACTCAGTCATAATTGTTCTAGCGAGACAAGCTTGCTAACCATTACACCACCTCGGGGTGCCTCTCCAAAGTGCCTTGCATGATGGTCTTGCAGAGGCTGTTATGCCGTGAGATGCGGCCAAACGATGCCATCTCCCGACGCTTAATAGTGAACGAGGAGAGATTTTCCTGTCAGTTCTCGAGACATTGTTTCGTACATAGTCATTGATTTTGCGCTCCCAGTAGGAGATTCGGAAGAACATTCTCGATCATTTTTTTTCTCGAAGGCTTGGGTCTCTTTTCCTGTTTCAACTAGGAATGTCCAAGTCTCATGGAGGAGGATGGCTACGACGGGACATTTGTAGAGATTTAACTTGGTATAGAAACTGATGTTGCTCTTTCCAGTCTAACCATCGCTGCTGTGGCTATTCGTCTGCGAACTTCTGAGCTGCAGGCGTCATCATTTGACAAGGGTTGCTCTAAAGTATTTGAAGTTGGACACGTCCTCCAATGGTTCGCTCTCCATCCTGGATTCAATTTTTATAAAGCGAATAAATTCAGTATCTGTCTATATTTCTGAGATGATGTATTATGTACACTATTTATATTATTCGGACTATTGTTTACATCTTTGTTGCCATATTTATCACAACGTTTCAGGTGTTGTACACTCCGGCCTTCTTGAAGCGGTTGGAATGTCGAACTGAACCCTTTATTTCGCTCGCTGGGGTAGACCATTCTAGTTCCACGTGCCATGTCTAATGGGTGTCAGTTATCAGTTATCTCCTGTTAATTCCCCTCTCCAAGTTCTCTACTGCCTTAACCAGGTATTGAAATCACAACTCTTTGGATCCTGTCACTGGATCTGACCAACGCCTTTATCTACTGTTAAGTCAGTGGAGAACTTGGAGAGGTGAATTAACAGGAGATAACACATAACTGGCATCCATTAGACATGGCACGTGGAACTAGAACAGTCTACCCCAGCGAGCGAAATAAAGGGTTCAGTTTGACATATAATTTTATCAAGACTAAAAACAAAACCAACCCTGATTATTATTCTTCTATTTCATGTTGAGAGAATTTGGGATAAAAGACAAACGCAGCTAATATTAATGTGTAGTGAAGGATTAATCAATAATAGGTTTAATAAATAATATAGCCATCAATTATAGTTTTAATCAATAATATAGCCATCTCTTAAAGTCTGAGGTTCACTTTAAAACCTTGTTCGATTGTTCTCTTTTTTTTTTTTTCTTAAGGCAATTCACCCCAAGCAAAGCGGGAGTGCCACTATCACTCAAGGAGTTACAGAGGATTGAGAACAAGAGTAAAGATGTATGATTGAGGAAAGGCTACAGAGAAGGACGGGGAACAAGCTGAGGGTGTTAGATGTCGATTGACATTACACTTGGATATTTGAAGATTATAGTCATCGGGGAATCAGATGGGAAAAGCGAGAGAAAAATCTGTTTGAGGAGAAGAGACGGTTACATTTAACCATTTTGACAGTGAAAGGGTGGCACCGAGATGCCAGCCTGGTAGCTCGCTTAAATTCATCCAGTCCGGGAACCAGCGAAAGTAGCTAGTCACAACAGTTGCCGTGAAAATACTTGTAGAATACTGTTATCGGATTATCTTTTAGGAAGAAAAAAATGATCAACTTAAAAAAAAATAATGCTGTAATAATGATAATAACAAAGAGATGAAAGCTAGTTAAAATATTTGTAAACAAATTCTAAGATTCATCACTATGATGAGACTGGAGCAAGCGTGCTTAAACAGCAGGTCAATCGCCGGACATATGAGTCATTAGATAGGTTGTCAGCGTTCAAGGAAAGTAATCATAAGGTCACGGAAGTGGTCGAACATTCCGTCATCTTGAGCTGATGCGACAGTAATTTCTCAGCAATACCTTTATGAATTATTCAAATGATCCTATCAAAATCCTGGAAAGTTCATCTTCTATTTAATGCGCATGCGCGCATAATCTTTAAGCTTTGTGTACATATTGAACAATCTTATCAGCTGTATATTCAAGTCCTGTCACCTGCAGAATAACTTATCTTTCAGTCTTTGAGTTCTCGTGTTTTTAAAATATAGACAGAATCCTCAAAGAATTAATGAAGTTAAACCCGGAATCGTTCTTTTATTGTTGAATACGCAAGATCTAGATGTAGGCAACAAACTAATTCGATAACCTATATATGTTGATAGATTTCTTTTTAAAAAGTGAGATATCTCTCGCGATGAGAACAATTTCAAAGGTAAGATGTTGAATCTTCACGAGGTGACATACAGTGTCGACCTAACACAACGTATTTGTTTTATTGTTTCAAATTTTGGGGGGTGACCGTTAGCAAATCAATGCTGCAGTTTCACAGACGTAATAATCAACCAATTCAAGTTTATTCTTATCAATGAGAAAAGATCTAAGTCTTTTTATTTTTTTGTTAAAAGAATTTTGAAGACCGGACAAAAGCAAGCAATATTAGTCAAGGCTTACACAATAAGAAAACAATCTCTCCAAGTCTGTGCTTCAGTTTCTTGCTTTTTTGGTTACTTTTTTTTGTCTTTCTTCTTTTAGGAACAAACAAGTGAAAAAAAAAAACAAACGTTACAATAAAAAGAAACCTAAAGAAGTGAAGTTATTTAAAATATTTGCAAAAAAAAAGGAGTAATTTTTTTTCATTATAGGCGAACAATCATTTCATTTTTTCATTATGTTGCGCACAATCACCACTTTCCATATATATATATATATATATATATATATATATATATAAGAACATAGATAGATAGATAGATAGATAGATAGGAACATACTGAGATAGATATATCGATAGATACGAACAAACTGAGATCAATAGACAGTTATGAACAGAGATAGATAGATAGATAGATAGATAGATAGATAGATAGATAGATAGATAGATAGATAGATAGATACGAATATACTGAAGTAGATAGATACGAACATACAGATAGATACGAACGGATAGATAGATAGATAGATAGATAGATAGATAGATAGATAGATAGATACGAACATAATGAGATATATAGATAAATAAATAGATAGATACGAACATACTGAGATAGATAGATAGATAGATAGATAGATAGATAGATAGATAGATAGATAGATGCAGCAGATGATTCGGGTACTAATTGAATACTAAGTTCAGAAAAATGTCATAGACGTCAATTGTTATTCGAAGTTCTTCAGACATGTGTTGTTCAATTTTTTGACATTTTCGCCTGAACTTTGAAAAATTTCCTTTTTTTTTTATTTAATGAAACAAGCTATTTTCCAATATTATTAACTCTGTAGAATTAACAAATCATCGTGACCGAGGCCGTGATCGTACTGCTCCCCTTCGACTACTGATCACACCAGATTGTGGGCTCTCTGCTAAAACCTAAAGTGCGCTCAGTATAGATTTGCTCTTTGTCTGTTGGAGAAACAAAAATGTCTATAGACTGCCATGGCTCTCCGATACATCTCTCTCTCTCTCTCTCTCTCTCTCTCTCTCTCTCTCTATATATATATATATATATATATATATATAGTTTATGCAAAACTAGGTAATCCGTATGGGTAGACCCAAGGAGGATGATATCCAGAGAGCTCAATGTAAATTCAGAGCAAATATGTTTGAATAAAAACAGACCACTTTAAGGTTCCATGTAATAAGTTATTTCACCACAACCCTTTTAAAGGGATCTGGATCATCAGACTTTACTTCCAAAGGTTGAAATGAAAAATGAAAAGAAACTCACACATTTTTGACGGACCGCTCTCAGGGATTTATTGTTTGTTGTATCTTCTTCCGTTTATGCCGGTATTCTCCCTCACCCCTTACCCATCGATATCTAGAGATAACATACGTTAAGTTAAGCGGCGTCTAGCCTACACAGAGTGGGGTTAAGGATAAAGAATTGAAATGGTACATCTAACTCACTCTTTTTTCTCTCCCCCCACTCACTTCCTCACTTCGTTAATTTTACATATGCTTGGTGCGGTCCGTCAAAAATGTGTAAATTTCTTTTCATTTTTCATTTCAACCTTTGGAAGTAAAGTCTGATGATCCAGATCCCTTTAAAAGTGTTGTGGTAAAATAACTTATTACATGTAACCTCAAAGTGGTCTGTTTTTATTATTCTCCACGCTTTCCTTCGTTATTGTTCACCACAAAATGTACAACTCCACACATTGCACAAAAATAAAGCCATATTTTATTCATGGAAAACTAAATCATTCTTAAACCTGGTGAACATGACCTGATTTTATTAGCTTGTTCAACATTTAAAAATATTCTAGAATATAATTCTTAATGCAAAATGTATGCGAATAGGAGTGCAGACGTTAGCAAATGAAGGCTTTCCAATTATTGTAAAATTCCGAACAAGTCTACGGAATGATATGTTCAAAAAACGTTCGATCAACGTGGAACAGAAACGCAATTAGAAAATCGAAGCCTATCAAAATGGGTTATGGAATATAATCCGGCAAATAAATCGAAAGGGATTAAAGTCGAACGAGATGGAAAGTAGGCGGTAGTTATTCGCAATTTAATTAAAATGTTTTTGCTTGATTACTTTTTCAATGAAAAGAAAAAAAAAGTCCAATTAAAAGATGCACTTTCTTTTTATTTCTATTGTTTGCAGGTTGCTAGCATTTCCAGTTTTGGTCGCTATAAATTCTCTTGTTTATTTTAACTTTTATTGTAAAATCTTGTTGGAAAACAAAACATTAGAGAAGAGTCTATTATTTACGTCTTGACAATCTTAAAATTGTGTTTGCTTTTGCTTCTTTAGCTTCGTAAATGTCCATTCGTTTATAACTTCATAATTACGAGGGGAAATCAACTGTCATGCTAATATTAACCGGTTCATTATAGACTTATATATCGAATTGGGATCAAAGTGTACTCTCTGTTTTGATCTCTAGAATTATAATATAAGCCGTTTCCTTATAAGGAACCTATTAAGATTATTTGCAAGCTATTCTTTTGGTAAAATGATTTGCAAGACACACTTATAAGAGATTTCTTTGAATTTCTACCCTACAGTAAACCTGTGTAAAGTTATTTTGCATCCATGTACCTAGTAAAATCAAATGGAATGCATTAATAAAATCATAAGAAATTAATTCTTATAAGTAAGTGGTAAATTATTTTACTATAGAAATATATTTGCAAATAATATCTCTATACGAATGCATCGCAATCCATATATTCAATCCATTCCCATGACAAATTCAAAACCAATGCATTCCTATAATAAAATTACATGCTAATTTATCTCCATAAAATATCACACCCAATGTATTCTTGCAATAAAGTCACGTGGAATTAATTCCTATAACAAAATCATAAGCAATGTATTCCTATGATTAAATCACATGCAATGCATTCCACTAGTAAAAGAATTTGCAGTGTAAGCCAGTATAAAAATAACTACAAGTGCGTTTTGGAGAAAGTCCATTTACAATTTATTTCTCTATTAAAATCAATTGCAGTGCTCTATATATATATATATATATATATATATATATATATATATATATATATATATATATATAGTAAAATAATTTGCAATTCTCTCTTCGCAATGCATTCCTCTAGTAAAATCATATCCAATGTATGCCTATAGAAAATTATTTTGCGATGCATTCTTATAAAGATATTATTTGCAAATAGTAAAATTTGCCATGCATTCTTCTAGTAAACATTTACAATTAATTTCTCTAGTAAAATCATCACACCTGCGTTCCTATAATAAATTCATATGTGTTATGTTTCTTATAATAAATTACTTGTCGTGCATTCCAGTAGTAAAATAATTTCCAATATAATTCTGTGATTATCTATTTAAAATCATTTTGCAATCTTTCACTGATATAGAAAAATCATTTGCAATGCATTGAAATTCATATCAAAACTATTTACAATGCATTCCTCTCGCAACCTTGCTTGCAATGCATTCCTAAAGTAAAGTTACTTGCAATGCATTGGTAAAATCTGTTTCAATAAATTTTTATAATCATTTCCAATACATTCCACTAATACAATTACATTGAATTCCACCAGGAAAATCATTTGCAATGCAGCCGTTTAGTAAGGTCATTTATAAATCATATCTATAGTGATATCATTTGCTATGAATTCCATAACATTATTTGGAATTGATCTTTACTGGAATATGATTTGCTATGCTGTCCACTTGTACAATTCTTTCACGTACATTCACCTAGCAAAACTATTTGTAATTCATTCCTATCGAAAAATATTTTCGATGCATTCGTATAGTAATACGATGTAATTGCTATAGAAAATCACTTGCAATGTAATCCTCTAAAAATGATATGCAATGCATTCCTCTAGAAAAATCACCTGCAATGTATTTCTCTAGAAAATCGCCTGCAATGCATTCCTCTAGAAATCATTTGCTATGTATTCTCATAAAAAGCATTGGTGATTATTTTATATTACTTTACGAAGCTTTCCTGTGGAAATCACTTGTGATGTAATCGGCGAGAAGTTCCCTGCATTCATATAGAAAATCACTTGCGATGCATTCCTATAGAAAATCACATGCTAAGTATTCCTATAGAAAATCATTGGCAATGTATTCGTATAGAAAATCATTGGCAATGTATTCATATAGAAAATCATTGGCAATGTATTCGTATAGAAAATCATTGGCAATGTATTCCTATAGAAAATCATTGGCAATGTATTCATATAGAAAATCATTGGCAATGTATTCATATAGAAAATCATTGGCAATGTATTCATATAGAAAATCATTGGCAATGTATTCATATAGAAAATCATTGGCAATGTATTCATATAGAAAATCATTGGCAATGTATTCATATAGAAAATCATTGGCAATGTATTCGTATAGAAAATCATTGGCAATGTATTCATATAGAAAATCATTGGCAATGTATTCATATAGAAAATCATTGGCAATGTATTCGTATAGAAAATCAGTTGCAATGCATTCCCATAGAAAATCACATGCAACACATTTTTCATGCGTTTCTATAGAAAAATAATTTGCTATAAATTTCTATAGCAAAAACTTTTCCATTCATTCCTGTATGAAGTTACTTGCAGTTTCTTAATAGAGTTAAATCACTAGCAAGCCGTTGTTTTTTTTTAAATCCTCTCAGAAAGTAGGATTTAAGGGATGGAGTTACTAGAGCAATGTCCAAATGTTTTTTTTTTTAAATTCATAAATGTCAGCAGTGATGTAACCCATGCCTGGAGGGGAAAGAAGAAATGAATTCATACCTCCCCCAAGTCTATAGTTGCAAAAGTGAACACGCTTAAATTCACGTGTGTTACTATACCTTTTCAACTTCAAAATGATAATAATCAACTTCAAAATGGACTTATTTTCAAGTAAAAAAATTAACCAACTTCAAAATGGATTAATCAACTTCAAAATGGATCAATCAACTTCAAAATGGATTAATCAACTTCAAATTGGAAAACAACTTCAAAATGAGAAAAAATCAACTTTAAATTGGATTAATCAACTTCAAATTGAGAATTGATATAATACTAATAAATTTAATATTTATTCTTTTATTTTTACTTAAAAGGGATATAAAAAAAATATAAACGTTCCTAAGAAATTTATTTAAGTTAAGTTATTTATCTAAGTTAATTACAGAGGGAAGTAATCTCTGTATTCCAAATACGAAGTTAGTGCAAGTCTCAGGGGAAGTATTATTAATTGCCTCGGAGGTCATCGCTTCTAACTTACTGAGGCAGAATTCTTTAGTAGTTAAAGATCCCTGGCCATCACCTCTTAAAATCCCAACAATTGAGTCTACCATACTTCTTTTTACGTCAGCTTTAATGACTGACCAAACCTTTTCAATGGGATTTAACATCGGACTATAGGGGGCAAGTCTGAAAATTTGGTGTTGCCTAAATTCATCCTCCTCCACAACTTCTTCAATTGAAGTATGGCAAGGAGCATTATCAATAACTAAGACAACTCCACTTTCATAAATTTCATTTGCCTTTCTAAGGCACTCCCTGGTCCATTCTTTCGTATCCTCTTTTTTGAAAGAACCTCTTTTAATTTTATGATGAATTAATCCATTATTACTAATACATCTAATATTTCAATTTACCAAAAA